TAAATACATCAAGTTCACAGGAGAATATGTAAAAAATGTCAGGTTGGCTTTCTTGGACTGTGAGGACTCAGTCTTTGATAGAGGACATTTGCAAACTGAGGTGTACCTCAAACCCACCCACACAGACCAGTATTTGCAGTTTGACTCCCATCACCCTTTGGAGCACAAGTTAGGAGTCATCAGGACTCTGTACCACAGAGCAGACAGCGTCCCCACTAGCTCAGGAGCCAGGCAGAAGGAGAAATCCCACACAAGACACCAGTCTGCCCCTCCTCCGAGACGGGCAGACTGGGCGTGGCTGGCCGGGGTCGGGCTGCCTGCTTCGGATTGAGAGAGAGTAGCGCCTCGCTGAAGCCCGGAGCTCGAATGTTCAACGTAAAACTAACTTTACCATGGTTTAATGTGGTGCTATGGCTCTGTAGACATTGCACGTTGCGGTCTTGTTTTGTGGTGTTTCTAGTGTAAAATACTTCCACACAGAGGACATGTTTCGATGAAAAGTTGGTTAGCTGTTAGCCACAGTGCTGCTAACTCAGTCCTCACGTTGTAGCTGGCTGTAAACTATGAAATGGATTTCCTGAATGTGAGGCGGGTCTTATTACTCTGGGTTCATGAGACACACCTCCGTTCAGGAAATCCATTCCATAGTATGAAGCCAACGTGCATCATGGATCGGAAATCTCTGCAAGTTGTATCGGAAAAATCCGAATCTTAAATTATGCTGGTATCGGAGCCGATACTGATACTGGATCGGACTCGTCCCTAGTTTGTATTATAAGGATTGTTTAATGTTTTATTTGTGTATAGCTGATTTAGTATGTAGAATAGTCATTTGTTTCCCAGGAGTATGAAGGCAACTTGTTCTGTGTTCCTTACATGGTAGGTTGCTCAGAGTAGCCTGTAGCATGAGGTTATCTGGTGCAGAGTATGTTGTGATAAAAGTACAGTTTGATGCAGTAAAAACTAACTCATGGTGCTCAGTGTGTAAAAAATAAGAGTAAAGCCTCCAGTATACTGCCACGTACATCCATACGCAGAGGTACGTGCGCACCCCCCAGGGCATGTCCGTGCAAAGCTCAAATTTCTACGACCGCGTACGCGGTGTCGCACAATAAACTGCCCAGCGACGGACTGTTTTGTATGCGACACCAATGTATTAAATTCCTCTTCTTCATCTCAGATCTGGCCTTTTCTTTTGTTTTTTTGCCAAGAGGCAGTGATCTCTTCCTCCTCCGTTGATGCAATGACTGAAATGGTGAGAAATGGAGGAATTTGTCACGAGCGAATTAAACTTAGGTCCAGCGTGGCTGCGGGAGGTCTGGAGATTTCCTGGTGGGCTGGTCTGATGTGTGGGCTGTAGAGCCAGTGCTCTTTTTTTTTTAGATCTTTTTATGAACAACATATAAACACAGAACACCGCTGCGGCGGAGGCTGCCAGCACTCGCTTTTTTTTCATTTTTCCGACCTGTCAATCAATCCAGTAGGCGTGTCAGCAAATGACCAATCGGCGACCTCAATTTGTCCCGAAGGTAAACGCCCCTCGTCTGTGAAGCTGCTCTGCAGCTGCTCGGGGTGTACGCTGGAGTATCATGTCTGAACCCTCTGCGTACAGTACACGTGTACGCACGTGTGAACAGACGTACGCGGCAGTATACTGGAGCCTTAAGAGTAATAAGTAGTGCAATTTTCAACCATGATCTCCGATAAAGTTCAACTTAAAGCTCACTGTTTCACCTTTCAGTACATGTACGATATACTCATTTTATGTGGTTTTATTAATTCGAAGAATTTAGTAAAATGTTCCTCAAATGGCTGGAAAATTCATAAATTCAAGTAGATTTTGTAAAAATATACCAAGGTGTGTGCGTGTGTGTGTGTGTGTGTGGGGGGGGGGGGGATGCCCCCAGCCTAGCTAAAACTTAGTTAATTTCAACTACTGCTCTGTTAATTGTAGCTTAGGCCAGTACTTCCCAAAGTGGGGTACTCATACCCCTGGAGGTACGCAAGAGGTACTTAGTGGGTCTGTGAGAAAATTTGAAAAAAAAAAAAAAAAAGTGTGAAAAGAGTCATGATAGAACTATCTTATCTAGACTGTGACCCTGGGTTTTGATCTGCTCAGATGGATTGTAATAAGATTATGACCCAAATCTGACCGCTTTAAACAGGGCCAGCAACTCAAAAAAAAAAAAAAAAAAAGAGTCTCCCAGGGATTCAATATCCATCAAGGAATAGATTTTTTATTTATTTATAATTTCTTTATTGGCTCGCTACAACATGCAGAGAGGCTTTGCTACATCCTCTTATTTTCCCGACACGTCAGACCACATAAGATCCAATGAGATCACACTTAGTCCGCCCCTCTTATCCACTTGAGAGGCTGCGCTCCCGGACGAAGGTGGAGCCTAGGCCCAATATAAGTAAGGCAACGTGTCTGGTCCTTGATCGCTTGTCAAATTGTATTGGAGAGGGCAGCGCTGTAAACTGTAACCTTTTCCTGCCTTGATTTAATATAATTGGTAAACTGAATTCACATTTCCTTGATTTATTGAGATAGTGTGAGTTACTACTTCTGAGGGAGTCCAAGCCGGGAGCCTCCTGAGCTGGAGGGTGGCTGAAGGTCTGAGGTAAGACCTGTGGCCCCAACAGCTCAGGACAGCCAGACTACACTCGCACATAAATAAACTGAGGCCCCTTCTCACATGAGCCAATAATACACGTGTCAATGCTGCCATCTAGTGTTTAGCAAAATGTTTGCACAAAGTAGAAGGGTGTGACTCGCTGAAGGAACAGCTGTTAATCAAAGCAGCCTTCGCTCAACTTCTTGTCGCTGCTGCAAAAACATCAGAAGCCATTGCTGGATTTCTGGATCGGACTGCACACAGGACAGCCTGCGCTGGCCAAACGCGCTGTGAACACTTTGATGCTCTTTGCTACAACGTACTTGTGTGAAAGTGGATTCTGACAAATATGAAAACAAAACACAGAGCAAGTTGTTGTGTTGAGAACGATTTAAGACTCACACTGTCTCATATTAAGCCAAACATAAGAGTTGTGTGCATCCTTCCAAGCACAGCCTTCTCATTAAAACTGTGGGGAGTTGAATTAAATACACAGTATGTTCAATAACAGTTATCATAAAGACCTTTTCCTACTCGGCTCCTGCACCTGGAACACCTGGCAACAAAAACTGAAGTTGTCCATCTTGATTTCTTTAAGGGGTTCCAAACATTTGATTATGCCAATAGAAAAATCAAAGCAGATATGTTCTTGTTTTTATTATTTCACCCTGATTTATTGTTTTATACAGTACTCTTATTTTAACTGCATTGTTCCTGTAGTTCATTGTGTCATTGTCTACTGTTATTGTTGCCTGTACTTCATATGCTCTGTCTGGAACAGGCCTCTCTTGTAAACGAGTCCTCGTGGTTCAGTGACACTAGCCTGTATAAATAAAGGTTGAATGAATGAAATATAAAATGTTTTGCAATACATACATTGTACACAGACTAAATGTTTGGATAATTCAGCCTATAAATGGGCCTGCTGCTTCCTTACATAGACAACTTTACTAATTGACTTTTCTGTGTCTGTGAACGTTTCTGTAAAGTGCCCTGAGACAACTCTGCTGTGATTTGGTGCTATAGAAATAAACTGAATTGAACTTAATTAAACGTGTTTCTTATTAATGCTGACATTTATTAATAAATATAATTTGGTGTGAAAAAGCAAACAGTTGTTTAAGATTTTATTTGATATGTGCAGTGTTTACGAACACATTTTAGAGGGAGAGTACTTGGCTAGAGGGCAGATGTCTGAAGAGGTATCTGAACAAAGTTTGGGCACCACTGGGCCTTAGGCTAAAGGTTTTACTACTGTACAGTAAAGTTTGACTCATTTTAGGTTGTGTTTAGCCACTTTCAGTTTTTAGATTGTAATTTGTTACTTTTAACCTTTGCACTGCTTGTTTTAACTTAAACAACATAGTTTAACTTTTTCAAAATAATAATTTCATGCTGCATTTCACAGAAAATATATTTTGTTATTATAATTTAATTTAGTTTTGTTTTATGTGTTACCTGGCAGTACATGAACATGCTGGTGTCCATCCATGTGGTGAGGCAGGTGACCTGTCAGGTTGACGAACCGTCTCACCTGGGCTCTCAGCTCCAACTCCACCTGAAACAGAAAAAACACATCTGAAGGAGATTACCAACAGATTACCAACTGTAGTTACACAATATTCTGAGGTAACAACAGGAAGCATTTCACAAGGTCTCAAGAACTTTACCAGAACCAGATCTCTTAATCTCTGGTTCTGATTCTACATGAATTATTTTAATGTGGATAAAGATCATAGTATGTAGTCATACAGTTTCATCAAACAAGAATATCAAATTTAAAGCCCGTTTATACATAAATCTATATATGAACAGGCCATAATCCTTATATATGATTATATAACCATTAACAGTTTCAATTTTATTGTGTAGATTTAATATATGGATATTTTAGACGCCAACACAATGTACATGTAAAAATACTGACAAGATGAAATGAAACAGATGGCAAGATATGGTGGTCACATTGAAAAGAAGCACTTACAGTATATTGCTTCAGGGATTATTTATAGAGCTTCAAAAAGTACTCTAATGAACTAGGTATAGTCAAAAACATATACAATGTCATCAGTCAGATAATATTTACTTGATGAGATAAACTGTGAAATTTTCAAAATGGAGGATGGTGGTCATATTGAATTTTCCCATTGATGACATTTTGTAGCAACTATGGCCAAACCATGTTTAAGTGAGTTGTTGGAAGTGATTTAGAGGAGCACAGAAAAAACATCTTACAATGATTTTTCAGTTTTCTGAATTCTGAAGGTAGATTCAAAATGGCCAACAAATGAACCTCCTGGGACATGTTGGCGATGAGAATGAAAACAAATTGCCAAGTAGACATTCTGAGGATTCCAAAAATGTAGGTTTCTAAATGCTGTCATGACGGTGACCGGGACACCCTACCTGCCCAACTATGGTGTGGTAGTACAGTAGTCTCTCGCTACTTCGTGGTACGTTTATCGTGAACTCACTCTATCGCGGTTTTTCAAAATAAGATTGGACATGACACGCAGTGGGCTGATTGATGGATGAGCCACACGATCGGCATGGAATTTTTATTTAAAATAAATTATTTGAAAGTATTTAGCACCTGCTGCACATTTGTGCAGCCCACACTGCAAGATAAGCTTCCTGCTTCAGCTGATCAGCTGTTCTCTGTGCAGAGTTGAGAAGTGGGCGTGGCCAAGAATGCTTGCAGGTGGCATAGAGCAGACAAGGCAGGCAGCTGAAATCATAACATTCTGTGCTCATTCAGAGCATTTAGTTTAGAAACATCCATCCATCCATCCATCCATCCATCCATCCATCC